TTTAGAAACTCTTCTTCCCATTTTTTTTTATATTTTATTGTTTTGTCTATCGTTTTCAATTCTAACTTTATAGTCGATAATCAGAATAATGCTTTAAATTTTATTACAATTACGATAATGGATTTGGTTCTTTAACTAAGAATAATGCTGTACCTTCTTAAAAATGATATGCCTGATGTCAATTGACAGATGAATAATCTTTTTTTTCAATTAGCATATGTTATTTTCATCATTGGTGTTCAAGTTTAGGGTTGGCATAAAATAAGCAAAGCCAGCATAATAGGAACGGCAAAGCACAATAGGATTGTGCGACATATTAATTTTCTCGCGTCTCATTCAAAGAAACGCCAAGGCGTTTTAATGATAAATTGGTGTTATGTGGGTATGACAATTCCAGACATTAGGCAATTTTGCGTTTTTCTGAAGATATCCTCGTGCCAGGAGGTCTCTCTCCTATTCATGTGTTATTTTCGTTTTGGTGTTCACATTCTTTTTGGATTAGTTTAAAACTTCGTTAAGCAAAACAAAAACCAATATTATAGGAGCGGCCAAGCACAACAGGATTGTACGACATATTTAAGTTTTTTATGTTTCATTCAAAAGACACGCCAAATGCTTTTAAATGATTAGTGATAAAGATCATATGTTAAATGGGATGTGACTATTTCAGATATTATGTTATCATTCCGGCAGTTGGGGGTTTGTTTTATTAGCACAAGGCATCGTGTTATTTTTGATTGGCGTCGTCAGTAAATAATGTTCTTATTTTAGATGGAATTAATTTCATTATAAATACTTTGAAATAAATTCATTTTGACAAAAAAAAAAAGAAAAAGAAAAAGAAAAAGAAAAAAATGACTTATGAAGAAGAAGGTGAGTATTTTTTTTTTTTTTTAAAAAGAAAAAACAATTTAATTAATTTTTTATTTAGACGAAATCCAATATTATCCAAATCCCAGAAACCACCAACATTCAAAAGAAGGTATTATTAAGAAAGTAAAACCGGATCAGATGTACTCTGTTCTCCCAAATAAAGAAAGTGAAAAGATTGGTATTTTGAAATTTTTTTTTTTAAAAAAAATATAAATATTTGCTTTTTTATTTATTTTTAATTTTATTTTTAGATATTCATTTCAATCAAATTATTAGAAAAATAATACGTTAAAATGAAAATTAATAAATAATCAATTGTTGTGTTCGTTTTGTAATTCTAAAAAAGTAACAAAAAATAAATATCCAATTCAAAATTTAGTATCGTTTATAATAAATCATTTGCGAAATCTCTTATATTATCAGCAAAACATTAATAACGCTTTTTTGGAGTTTTTCCGAGATATGCATGCGTTGTGTGACACAAAAAAAAATGGTTAACATAAAAAATTTGATCATTTATTGTGTAATGCCGATTGTTTCCCTTTTTTTTTAGTTTAATTATTTTGGTAAAAAACGTGTTGTACGATAAATATTCTTTTTTTAAAGTGTACCCTTTCTTTATATATGTTTTGCTAGTGCTCCGAACCGTTCGGGTCGACCCCCGGGTTAAGTTTTCGAGTCGGGTTACCCGAATTAAATCAACCCGTCGGGTCAGGGTCAAACTTTACACGACCCGTAATTGACCACAAGAAAATTTAACCACTTTTTTTTTTGTTTTATTTTACGATATTTTAATTAAAAATAATTAAGCAATAAGCGAATCTATTGACCTTACCTCTGGAAGTGCAACTACTCGAAACTTTATGTAGCGAATTTTTTACAAAAGATGTTTAGCTGACCGTAGTATTTTTGAAATAGTTAATATTTATATTATAATTTACCATTTTTTGAAAAAAAACATTTTGAATAAAACTTGGCTTGAAATCCTGGAGGCATAAGGTTTTGAAGTTATATTTTTCGATTCTTTAACTTAGCATTGTTAAATGAATTTACAAATAAACAATAAAAATTTCAAATATATTATAATAAATTTTATAAAATCACCCGGTAGATTCCTAAAACTCGAGTTGTAAATATAATCGGGTCGGGTTCGGGTTGTGTAAATGCTGACCCGAATATTTTTGACAGTCCATTTACACTCTCGAGTCGGGTTCGGGTTTGAAACCCGACCCGACCCGACCTTTTCGGAGCACTATGCTTTGCTTTCTCTATGCTAAAAAAGTTTCTACAGGCATTGAATATAGTAGAATAGATCATGATGAATTATTTTCAAAGTATTCAGAAATAACGATCCAAGAGATAAAAGAAAATTCAATCATACTAATGATCGAATGCTTTCTAAACATCAAATCTGAATTATTTGTAATGAACTTCTCTTTTTCCTAAATGATAAATTGTTCTTGATAAAATAATTTAATCAAATAATTGTTAATTTTACATTACCTAGGTAACAGTAATTTAAGCAACAACCTTAGACCTAAAATCTTAGATAAAGAACCCAATATGCATGACTTGCCGAACGCATCCTTATTTGATTCTTTCACTTCTTCATGTAAAGTGGTAGCAAAGTTCTAAAAAATTTTATTTTTTACTGTCAGATGCGATATTAGGGTTTGGAATGATCCTATCAAAATCAAATTAATCGAAAATTAAATTAGAATCAATTTAATCAATAATTGAATAAAAAAATTCAATCTTTTTTAAAAGTGCAGTAAGTAAGTATAACTTAAAAAGTAAAGTCAAATGACACTTTGCTTATTTGAGAAAAAAGACAATAAAATAAAGTGATTTATCAAAAAAAAAAATCAATCGTTTGAAAAATAATAAACAAAAATTAACAAAAATTAAAAAAAAGTTTCTGAAAAAATCAATTCGAATTGTAAAAAAAAATAATTAAATCAAATTAAAACTGAAAATTGATTCCAATTTCTAAAATTATAATCAAAAAATCATTCTTCATAAAAATAAATTTGATTAGAATTGATTAATCAAAATTGAAAATCAAATCTTATAATTGAATCTTAAGATTGAATTAATTGTGATTAATCGATTCTTTAATTGATTTTACATTTTAGAATTGATTCCAATCCCTATATGATATTATCATTTTATGTTTTTATTATTATTATTTTATACTAAACAAATAAAATATATATTTTTTAAATTTTATTCCTAAAATAATCACAACTAATTGAATCTAAATTTAATTCTAAAATAATCATAGCTAAAAAAAGAAAAAAAAATTAATAATAGCATCTGTAATAAAATGATATTATAACTAAAATAATTAACAAATATAATATAGAAATTACTTTTCTAATAAATGAAAATATCTGCAAAATAAACCTTCAAAAACTACCATAAACTTCAAAGTAAATAGCATACATATATCAAGATACTAGTATCTATTAAAAAATACATTCATCTTGATAGTACATAAGATTCAAGACATTATATTATTATACACTACTTTAACAATTAATGAAAACATATTTACTTCAAATTAGATTTATATGACAATAAGCAGAGCTTCCTTTTAGAATTGATTAAATATATTTTATTTAATTTAATTGCCTAAAAATAGATAAAAATATCATAATAGAATATAGGATATTAAATCTTATATATCAAAATAGGCTAAGAATATAAGATTAATAAAATTAAAGATAATTAATTATATAAGAAGTGATGTCTCTAGCTCAGTAGTCAAGCTGTAAATTTTCTATAATATAAAGTTTTATTATATATATTATAGACCATAGTTCAGATATCAGCTAATACATAAAGCTGTATGAATTTTATAAGAATTTATTATGATTAAACTGATAGGCAATATTATAAATTCAAAAAAAAATTGTTAATGCAAGTGTATATTATTTATAAATATTATGTATGCAAACTTTAAAATCATGTACATATTTTCACCTAAACAAATTTAAAAAATATGAGCAAAAAAAAATTATATATGCTTTATATATAAAAATAAAATTATAATATGTGTACAAAAAAATTTATTTATTATGAAAATATTAAAATTTCGATTTACAAATGAAAATTTACATGATCAATCTCCTTAAACTTTTTAAGTATTCACAAAATTTCCACTTGTCTTACTTTTAAATTAATCCAATAATTGTATATTTTCTTAAAATCAAAATCATTAAATGCTTATTCAAATTTTCAATACAAAGCTTATTTCGAAGTTTTATTTTAATTAAATTCTGGTGTAAAAAATTCTTTTCACTGTTGTATTTGATAATAGGATGATAAGTATAATTTCACTAATAAAGAAATGGAAGACGGTCAGTAGAAAAGATGTCAAAATTTATATTATTAGACCACTTGGCTAATCTCGATCATATGCACAAATTTAGTTTAATAATAAAAATTAACAAAAATTTTGGATTTCCCCTTTTTTTACTGACTACATTTTAAATGTTAAAATAATTATTAATAAAATTATTATCTATATTAAAAATATGTTTCATGTTTTCACAAAATTATAATTCTTTTCTAAAAAAGGCTCTAAATAAAATTTAGCTAAATTTCACTTATTAATAACTTTTTCTTATCAATAATTCCTATAAAAATGTTATAATTAATTACTTTGCTATCTTCATAATAGTTACCTAAAAACTCAATTTCTTTTTGTTTATAAGTTACCATTTGTCTTTTTGTCTTAGAAATCAATTTAACATTAAATATGCTTAAAGTATTATATAAATTAGAATCTGAAAATCTTTCTTGCAATGCTTTAATTATCTTTATTGCATAATCTTTACTAAAAAATGAAATGTTTTTTGATTAATATTATTACAATTTATATAATTATGTAAAATAATACCATATATAGGTTATACATCGGCATTTCCAATAAAACTTTTAGAAATAGAACTAATTGCTATCTTTAAATGAGGTTTATATGTGAAAGTGCAATATAATCAGACTAAAAAGCATTAATCAATCTTTTTAGTATTATTATTAGATCTGCTAAAAAATATAGTAACTATAACAAAATCATCATTTAATAATAAAATTAAATTTTTAGCAATCTTTTCTCCTACTAATTAATCCTCATTTAATGTTAATAAAACTGAATCAATGATTTTATGAAGATTTCTTATAACATTTGATAATGAAAGCCATTTAATTTCAACGAGATTTTGTAATTCTAAAGTTAACTCATTATTTATATTCTATTTAGCAAGAAAATTAAATTATTTATTATAATGTTATATTATAATATTACTAATACAGTCATACCTCTCTATAGCGAATTTTTATATAACGAATTTTTTGGACAACTATATTAAATTTACCCTCGTTATAACGAACTAGCCAATCAAATTCTTTAAAAAATTCACTATAGCTCTATAGCGAAGTTGAAGTTCAGGACATAAAATTCGTTATATCAAGGGTTGACTGTATATATAAGTTAACCAAATATACCTGTATGAGACATAGCATTTTTTAGCGCTTGTGAGATTGATTAAAAATATGAATAAATTTTATATAGAATTTTTTCATATTCTTTAAAATATTCAACTTTTAACAAAGTATTTTTGCTTGCTAAATATTAGCAATATGCCATATAATGATTTGATAATATAAACGAATTTAATTTTTTTAATCTAGCTGATACACCACTTCAATATCCTATAACAATTAATTATAAATAATTGATTGAATTTAAATTTTTTAATAATTAATATTTAAAAAAAATATAAATTACCTATTATAAGATGCGTTATCTAAACTAAAATGAATTAAAAATCAACTTTCAAATTTTTTAATTCAAGAAATAACTTAATTTAACTTAAAATATAAAGAGCGTTAATTTCTTCTAAATTAAGCATTCTAAGATAATGCATATATGAAGTTGTTTATCAGATATTTAGCTACAATTGCTAAATGCTTGTCATCTAATATACTGTTAGATTTGTCAATCATCAAACTCCAATATTTGAAAATACTTAGTCCTTTGAATAAATTTTCTTCAATAATATTATAAATACTGGATAAAAATTCATTTTTGAATTATTTTTTGTATAACTTCTGTATAATGCTTTTACTTTATTTTTTTATAATGTGATATTTAAAGATGGTTCTTATAATTATTTTTAAAATTTTTAACTAATTGCAATTATTTATAAATTTTTATATTAAAATAAATTTACAAGTAGTTGCAATTTCTTAATTATGGTGTTCATCTTTAGTGGTATTTTAAGAATATATGGGAGCTTTGCTATTAAAAGTGGGTTCCGAGACTATAAATTGATTTTGAGTAAATGGATGATCAAAAAATA